TTGTAATTCTTGATTTATGTTTTGCCATTCTTAACCATTAAATTCAGTTTTGAGCAAAAAGACATTTGTAAACTGAAACTTTTGGCACACAACTTACAAAAGGTGAGTGGTACAAACAGACAAATATCCTAGAAATTTGTATGGTTTTATTGGAAAACCTCATCAAAAACACTTTAAAAAGTATAACTGAAAGCTGGTCCACAGTAAGAGGAATATGTTGCACTTTTTCCATCTGACCACAGAAAATCTGCAGATAATCTATAGGTGTATGACCAGCTGTAGGCTGATGAGAGGAAGAATCGCCTGTCTGACAAGTCACATTGCCATCAGCAGGATCGCTAAAAACTGTCTGTCCCTATGGAATCGCTCCTTCTGCAGCCAGGTGCAGGGGGATGTCGTTCTTTCGCTGGCCCAAACGCTGCCTCAACCATAGGAAGAGAGATTGCATAGGGAAAAATAGGAAGCCTCTTAAAAGGAGAACTATGAGGTGAGTGCTCTTCACTCACCTCATAGTTCTAGCCAACCTGTGACAATGAGACTGTCACAGGTCGGCTCAGTAGATCGGGAGGTGAGCGAACACATACCGGGTTCGCTCGCCTCTCGATCCTGTCACGGCTCTCTGCCGTGACAGGGGGAGGGGCTGGATTCCCCTCTCCCCGCTCCGATCTGCCAGCGCTGACTGGCGGAACGGACGGGGGAGGGGGCGGGTACAGCTGGCTCTGCCTCTAGGTAGGCAGAGCCAGCTGTCAGTCACGCAGCTGGGCGGTTCCCGTCATCTAAGTCGGGATCCGCTGCGGCGTCTCAGTATACCGCGAGCTGTAGCTCGCGGTATACTGAGCTTAGGGTAATGGGAGGACGCTAGTTTGTGTCCTCCCGTTACCCTAAGGAGAACTATGGGGAAAAGCCCTAACCCCATAGTTCTCCTTTAATGATCCTGTCACTGGTGATTTCAGCAAATCGGTAGCAGAAATTTCATCCGTCTGACATCAGCCTGAAGGCACAAAGTTTTTGTTCTGACAAAAATATTTTCATAAATCGTTTATAAAAAGACAGGTTACTGTCCAGCTAAATGTCTGATTAAAGACTAAACATTGCAACTCATACATCTATACAGCAACTATACGTACACTGTCCAATCCCTCCATGTCTGAATACAGTTTGGGACTGATTTGTTTTAGTACACCAAGGCAGCTGGGGTGCAAGAGTCATAGCGCCAGGGTGCCCCAAGGTTTTTTTTTTAGGGACCATTTTAGAGCTCAAATAAATGACATCAATCCGACCATCTATTTTCTAATCATATAACCCCATACAAAGAAGGCCTACCGCTCTACTTTTCTTCCAGAGCTTTTCTCCATTCAGGCGAAGCTTGCCACTATAAAAGGCGTCTTCCACTTTGCTTATATGAAAAGAAAGAAAAAAAAAAAAGTTAAAACGCACATGTCATATCTAACCCTGTTAGATTTTATTATAATGAAGATACAGTGTAGAAACTAAAACATGTTGTATACCTAGGTAACTGTACAAAGGTAAAACATGATAAACATAACACTGCTGTGTAACATTATATTCTTGAGAAAATTTGAAAACAAGTGTATATTATCATCATACTCAAAACAAATGTTTCTGATGTCACATATTTACAGGCTACGAACACTCATTCAAATATACGCACTGCCCTGTCGTGTGTTGTCGTGTTAACCTGTGTTTAGGGAAAAGTCTAACACACTGAAAATCAGACCTGCACTATTGTTTCCGATGCAGCTCACCATGCATTGGGTGCTATTTAAAATGGTAAATCAACAATCTAACAAACTCCATCGCATTCCGGCCAGCTAACTTTTTTGTGGGGCAGAAGGTGGCGTGGCTGGCCATTGAAGTGAATGGCACCGTAGCCACGCCCTCCGGCCACAATGCGATCACCCCCACGGGTTCGTAAGGCACATTGTGCAGCATTCTGATCGCACCGGAACCGCAGGCACAATGTGCCGTGCGATCGCATTGCGGGCGGAGGGCGTGGCTACAGTGAGCCGGCCGGAATGCGATGCAGTGCATCCCGGGCCAGAATCAGACAGGAACTCTCTGCGTATGGTGTGAACGAACCCTTAAAGCTGAACTCCGGGCAGGTGTAAACATACAGGAGGGAAATTTATCAAAACTGGAGCAGACAAAGGTGTACGTTTAATAAACTGTGATAAAACTAGCTTTATCACGAGTTAACTTTACTCAGCAGATCTCTTTGTTTTTCTCGGCTGCACAGAGGCTGTTTAATAACCTGCGAAAAGAAAACTTATCTCACGTAACAGCTGTGAAAGGCTGAGATAAGTTATCTCAGTGATCAGTTGAGAAAGCAATAGGGGGAATGTATTCTAAGCTGCACAATTACATCCTTTGTGATAATCTGCAATCCTCCTGACAGGATCGTAGTTTAATCTGCCAAACCACCCATTAACAATATTACAAAGCACCGCTATAGCAAAGTGCAACAGTTATTTCACCGTTAAAATTAAGAAAATTGCTGAAAAACAGGATTTACATGTTCTGATTTGTTCAGCATGTACCAGTACAAAACCATGAATTAAACTACCAGAGGCAGCCACAATGCGAGGCAGTGATGGGGTTAAACAGTCTAAAGGGGCACTCTGATGGAGCCTAGTTCGTACACCAAAATCTGGAGCAGTCGTGCATGGCAACCAATCAGCTTTTCTCTTTCATTTTCAAATCTTAACTGAACAAACTGGAGATACAAACTGATTGGTTGCCATGGGCAACTACTCCAGATTTTGTCTGCTCCAGTTTTGATAAATTCCCCTCACAGTATTTAATTTATCTGGGTATTTAGCTGTTTTCTTGGAGTTCAACTTTGAAATAAACTTGTCTGCCCCTTTATATCTAAAATTCTACCCAACAGCAGACACCGCAGTAAGCCTACTTTTACCTTTGTGTGCCATTTGTGACACTGTCCAGAACCAAAAAAAAGAGGAAGGGTTTTGTAGTGTAACAAGTGTCTATTAATGCCTTGATTGCCACTGAGGCCTTCTTAATGTACAGGGGGTGGGAGCAGCTAATGCTCAAGACAAGGCCTCCATGGCAAAGTTAAAGTGACCCATTCCTTTGCCCATGAAGGGTCACTTATCCACCAACTTCCATAACAGCAAATGCTCAACCTTCCATGCTCCCTCGCCCAACAGGTGAACAATGACAATTCATATATCTTCCATGATAACACCTATTCTGATGTCATAGAACTAGATCTGTCTAAAGCTGATTTGTAGTCACCTCAATAAAGTTATCTTTACATCCTGATTTGCAGTAATGTAGTAAGTTGTTTTATTTACCTGCAAATTACAAGGGCTTTGTATTTTAATTCCCTTGCAGTTTCTCTGGGCTCATTCGGATGACATTTGCCGAAAACAAATCTAGTACAGCTGCATTACATAACATGATGCGTGGCATCAATTCCCAGTGGGAAAAGCATAGCTACAAGGGCTGAATACCTCAGCCCCCACTCCAGGTAATCATTTTAGATCTGCTCAAAGCCAACCGAAGGGATCTGCTCAGCTTTTCCGAGAACAATACAGCTCCAGCCTAGTAAGCCTTTGACTTGTTTCAGGCTGGAGCTGCTTTGCTCTGGCAAAATAACCCACATCTCAGTATAACTTCCACAGAAAGTGTCTAATTATTAATTGGGAAACTTCTGTATAGTTCTGTTTCACATGTGAGCTTTATATGTTTTAGAAGTTCATATGATTGGGGAGTTTTGTGTTTTTACATGAAATAATCCAATGTTTGTTTCTACAGATAATCACTTACTTTCGTGACATGTCTAAGCCAGCAGTAAAGATGACATCAAAACGAAATGACTGCACAGCCTTTTCTACATCTTTATAGTCCTTGGGTATGGCCGGATCTTCTACTGGCTCATCTTCATAGTCACTGATATCTTCTGGATTCATCTCCTCCTCATCTTCATCCTCTTCAGTTGTACCTGGTCTATTCTTTTTTTGACTTTTCTTACTTTTGTGCCTGACACAATTATATAAACAGATAGGTCCTGGGGGTGTAGCTTGTAAACTACCAGAGATGGCATTAAACAAGCCATTGGCTGAGCGGCTGTAGTTTGTTAAATACGTTGACAGATGTCTTTGATGTGTCCAACACGTACTGCATTGAGAAGTACTGCATGTAAATGACGCAGACTTTTGGCAGATCCGTGAATAAAAATGCAGGTTATTGAAGGCCCTTAGTGATAATCTGACTCCAGTCATTGCATAGCCTGCAAGCAAATTGAGGAAAAGGAAGAAGAAAAAATAAAGTCAAAGTAAGCAAGCCTGCAGCTATGGTACAATGAAATGCTGTACATACATATACTTTTATATGAATGCTTTTGTTCCGAGTAGTTCTCACTGCAGAATAACCCCCAGTGGTTACAGTGGTCATACAAATACTCTGCAGAGGTTTCCATCATAAATGAGACAAAAGCGCAGGACGTGTTGTGTAATCACTGGCAACAACAAATGAAGTTTATACACAAGACTGGATCATGTTCAGGCCAAAGGACAGCACAAAAATGTAAAGCAAAATTCCCTGTGACATTAACATGTCCAAATAAGGACTTGCTTAAAGCATAACTAAAGGCAAAACCTTTTTTACAATTGGATAAAGTGGTGAAGGCTCAGGAGCCCCATCAGCTTTTTGTTGCTGTTTGTATCTCTGTTAGGCCCCATTCACACTGAACGACACTTACCTCGAGCGGATTTCCGCGCGATCGATGTAGCGCGACTTTCCCGGCGACGATCGCGCGACCTTCACTACTAGGCTGCATGCAAAATCGCACGACATCCGCGCAAAAAAGGGTCCTGCGACGAGCTATAGGCGATATCGCGCAGTAGATTCAAAAAGCACCATTGAAAAGCATAGACCGAGCGAGATCTCACGATTTTCGAGCGGAAATCCGCGCAGTGTGAATGGGGCCTTATAGAGATCCAATCCCTCTAATCACCGTGATCACCAATGTCATCGGACAGGATGACAGCGGCTCAGCTCCGCACCCACTCGGCCATCCTGATGACAGCTGCGGCTCCTCACGCTAAGCCATCCCAGTGCTCCCTCCTCCGCCTTCCCCAACCCCTCCCCCT